CTTAGAAAATTTTGTTTAGGAGTTATTTAATGCTTTAGATTTTAAGTTTTTTAGTTAGACTTTAATTTAAATTTTAAGTTTTTTTAAGTGTTGCAGGTTGCATTTGACATGAATATTAAGATGCGCAGTTTCATCAAATGCTTCATATTTTTAAAGCGAAGTGCAATTTGTCACATCTCTGTGAAATTCTCTTTCTTTAGAGATCTCATTTATAAAAGATTAGTTGCATGTGAGAACTTCACCTATACTACTAAAATAATATACAATGGTGCATGAAATGCCACACACTAAATAGTATATCTACAACATAAAAGTGACTGTATGTGTGTTTGTACACAGCAAAAACTTGAGAATTACTAGAGTGATTTTGCCTAAATTCGGCATGAATACTTCTGAAGATATTAGGGTCATGTACATTTTTTGAAGATTTTAGTAGTATTCATGTGTTATTGCATGCAATATGTGCATTTTAAAAAATTACAAAAACAATATTTTCTCAAATGGCTCCAAATTTTTTCTTTAAACTTTTGGTAAGGATAGTGCAAAATGTACTCTATAAGATTACATAAATGCCATATTGCTCTTTTCTTTTGTTTTTTCAAAAATTACAAAAATGTATTTTTTTACATGCCTTTCATGTTGTTAATATTAGCTGCAATTTGTTCACATTATTCCATTTATGAGTACATGTGCTTTAAATAATGTCATATAAAGTTTCTCAAAAACTCTATTTTTTCTTTCAAAACTAGCATAAAACTCTTCATTTTTAGAAACGGTGAAACACCATTTTCTCAAACACGGCTACACATTTTTTCTTCAAACATTTTGAAGGGATAGTGGTAATTGTACGCTTTAATATGATGTAAAGTTAATTTAGGTGCATTTTTGTTTTTTCAAAAATTACACAAATGTAAATTTTTTTGAAATAACTCTTAAGTTAAAGTACTTAAAATGACTTCAAATTAAGTTTTTCAAAAACTGAAAAATATTCTCTGAAAAAGAGCTTCAAATTTCAAATTTATAGTAGCGCTTAAACACAAGTTTTTTAAAAACTGCTCCAAATTTTGCAGAGAAAATAATATTTAGGTTTTACTATTCTTTAATAATCTTAAAATAATATTTCCACTTTACAATTAGGAAACCGAAAAATTAAGAAAATGTCAAAAAAATATATGGCAGCACGCCAGAATATGTGGCAAGTTTGAATAGCTAACCAAGACCAAAAGAAATAGAAAACTAACATGCGAAAGTCTGTGCCATTCTGTGTCACTAGTTGAACTATTTTCTCAAGAGTTTTCTTTAAATATTTTCCTTGGATAGAGCATCAGACGCTTAAACAAATGGCACATTATCACAATTTTTATTTTCTTCCTCAAAATGACCTTAAAAATTAATCTTTAAATAAGATCATGTACATGTTTTTTCCAAAACTAAGAATTTTTCAAATAATTTATGCTTAAAGTTGATAAAATTTATTTTGAAAATATTCTAAAAATGGTTCCAAATATTATCTTTAATTTTTTTCTTGGACAGAGCAAAGGATGCTTAAGAGATGGCACTAGGCCCATATTCAGTAAATACTCTGTATTTTAAAAAATTGTGAAAAAAACCTTCAGACCAGAAAATTCAGACATCATAATCGTGAACAGAGAAGAAATTAGTCTTTACAGCCTGTTTCTATTGGTTTATTACAAACATAAAATCAACATTGTAAAACTACAATAATGATGATGAATTTTTGTTTGTAATAAAATTCATTATTTAAAACTACACCTCAAATAATGTAAATAAAAATCTCTGCTTTTTAAAATTACAAATACAAATTTTCAACTTTTTTTAAAAGCATTTTGAAGGTTGGATTTGCTTCGAAAGTGATGATGTATGGGTAACGTGAGTGGTGTGCAAAGTCTATGAGCCTGACTTCAAATGAAAGTGTGGAGGAAAATGTTTGCTGGGTGGAAACACTTTTGCAGGTTCATGTAGTACAATAATATTGCATAGCCATGACAAATAATGAAAGTATGTGCTATTGTAGCGTAACTAATGTATTATTTGGTCCAGTTGATATTTTTGATATCCAGTAAAACTGCAGTTAGAAAGGAAGAAGGAGTTGTTTCTGACCCACTTTAATAAACTTGCTGTGTTATAGTAAATATAATCTTAATTTCAGCAAGTCTGTGATCTTTGGAAAGCATATTCTGAAAAAGCAAGTTTCTTGACACATTGAGTTCCTGACTTCTAGGCTGTCTGGGTGACGCCACGTCGCTGCCAATGACGCGGCATCACCCGGACAGACTAGAAGTCGTGAACTTGAGCCGCGGAAGCCTATGTGTACACATTGAGTTCCGCCTTAGTGCTGTGCAGATATATACTTAAAAATGTACAGTTGTGTAATAACATAAAAGGACCTCTCTGTATGCAACTAGAGCTTTTTTATGCTCTATTTATTATAGACAGCTTCAAAATGAGTAACACAATTAATCACTAGGTGATGCATATTAATGAAGATTACTGACACAGAAGTGATTCAATCGTTGAATGCTTGCTGCTTGAACTGTCCTGAAGTGAACTCAAACTTGCTAATGGAAATCTCATACTTCATAACAATAATAATAATTTTATTCTTATAGACTTATAATATATGTTTCAAGCAAAAGTCAAAATCACAGTAAGTTTTGCAATTATATTTTGGTAGAGTACATTATGTTTTCAAAATATATACAGTGAAACTTCTACATAACGTTTTTTAAGTGATCGTAAACTCTGAACACTGTATAGAGGAAAACACTATAAAGAGGAAGACTGTGTATATGGCTTTTTGCTTTGCATCAGAAAACATTGATATAACATAGAGGAAAGCATTACATGGAGAAATGTTATAAAAAAGTTTCACTGTAATACATTGAGGAAATTATATAGTAACAATAAATAAAATAACAAATAAAAGAAATTGCATAAATGCACAGTGAAAATATTAATAAAGAGACTTTAGATTAATTACAATATAATATAAAAACAACAGTATTTTTTGTTCTTCCAATCGTATTATAATATATAACACTAAGAGGTTAGCAATGTACTAGAAGATGAAGATCAATATTCTTCGAAACATAGTATTTACAATGAACTAAGTTAAAAAGTGTTCAATGGCTGAATCATTTCTGCATAAATAATATTTAATAAATGTGCATCACATGGTGATTAACTGTGTAACTTATTTTGTGGTTGTCTATAATAACTGGGACCCTCATGCAAACCCTCATGTTAAAATTCAATGACAGTATTTAATAAAAATTTTATTGTATGTGAAAAGGTTACCAATTAATTTCTTTTTTTGTTGTTGGTTTACATACTGTCGACTAACTATAATAACCTTCTGAGGACTAGCATATATGGTTCACTATGTATACAATGTCAAAATGAAATACAATTTCTCCATGATGATTGATTTCATTAATATGGAAATACAACAAAATACATTAAGAACATGAACTGAAAATTTTGACCTCAAAAAAATTATTAATTTCAATCGTTTGCTTCACACATTTTTTATTAGTAATTTCTCTACATCCTTCTCCAGATTTCATTGTCTCCTTACTCGATTCTGCATTGTCCACACATTTCTTACGTTTACTATACCCGAACCTTCTTGTGTTTATTTGTAATGTAAGTGAAAAGGGACTAGTGACTTTACTTCACTATTATTGAGAGTTCACTATATTTAGTTGATAATAAAAGTAGTTTGCATTTTTCCCTGTTTGTATTTAATTTTTTTAGCACTAATGCTCAAAGTCAGACAATGCTTAAATGTTCAGATAAATCTGTGAATGTAACAAAGAACAAAATACTTTTGTATGACTGCATTTATTACTAATGACATTACTGTATCATTGAGTGATTTGTATACTTGAGTAAAAATAAAATGAAAGTCAGCAAGTTCTAAAAAGTCATGTATGGCACATAGTAAAAGTGATTTCATTTTGCTTGTAGGATTGCACCACTCTGCATTGTCGCAACAACTCCTACTTGGAAAATATAATGTCACTTTCACAACTCATAACTATTCTAATTAAAGAAAAGAAGTTCTATGGTTGCAGTAGTGATATAATATTTCAACAGTGAAAGTTGGTTTACCTACTGGTAAATTAAGACAACAAAAAGGAACAAGAAAACACACTGGTGTACAACAATCAATATTCAAAAGAAAGGCTTGAATGATTAAATGAATTCAAAAAAAGGTATGAAAATTATTTCACTGATTTTGGAGGGTGAAACCACATAGTTGATGCATATATTTTACATATTTCTTACTAAATGAGTACATTATTCTGTGTGGATTGTTTATTTTAACTTTTATTTACAGAAAATTCCCAGATACCTAATAGATAGCACTGAAAGTCTAAGCATTGACAGGTCTCTTCAGTATTTAATATTTTTAAAAAACCTATGTACATTGAATGAAGGATGCCATTTAACATGAGATATTTACAGCTTTGATTTATTTTATTAAGATGCTTCGCTATTTTCAAACTGTTATCGTTCTTTAAAATGAGTATGCTACAATTGAGAATAAAACAGTATTTTAAAACTAATGTTTTAATTGAACAGGAATCTCTACAAAAATGGCCCAAGTAGGAATTTGTAGCACTATTCTATCATTTATTTTATTTCAGAAATAATATAATTACAATAAAATTCAAGTAAAATTATTCCTTTCATTTCAATAAGGGATATTTATATTATAAGCTATCAAAAATATTTGAAAGTGGTAAACAGATATTTTGAAACTGAAATAGAAAAGGTATTGCATGAGCTAGAAGAATAAGGAGTTTGAGCATTAATCCATTTACTTTTTACATTTCTCTCAGGTCCATAATATTTACACTTTAAAAACACTCAGTCACATTGAACTGATAATAGTACATAAAAAAGAAAAGCAACAATTTAACACTATTAACCTCTGTCAAAGAGGATTTATTAATTTTTTAGGTTGTTCAGGTTCTGATATTAGAGCCAAAGATTGTATAGGTAATTGTGCATGTGTGTAATAGAAGGGCTCACACTTTGACAAATGAGAATTTTTCATGCACAATCATTTGTGTAAGGTAAAGGTCAATAAAACAGGTGTTCATTGATGATACATTTATGACATATTTTTAGGTCTTTACATAACGGCAACACACACACAGAGAAAAATACCAGATTATCATTCTTTGATAAACACTTTCTTTCATAGTTAGGGCTCTAGTACACTGATTTTCAGAGTATAGCTATTGATACTTTGAGTATCAGTGATTTACAGCTCTAATTTTGAAAATAATGTTTATCATTTTTTACCCATTTGTCTGCATTTCAAAAAGCAAATAAAAAATGCAATTAAAATGCATGAATAATTCAATCAATACGGTAGGATTATGAAACTTCGAAAAATTTTAACAATCAACTTGCACATACATTAACTAAACTGCGTCACCAATTCTAAAAATGGAACAGTGAACTCAGTTGTTGTTCTCTTTGAGCTCAAATATCCTTTTTTTTTTTATCTTGAATTAGAACTATCAATAGACATAAAGATTTTCAATGAAACAAACAATTTTTGGAAATCCTCAATGCTACATGTTGACTCGGTCATGTATAAAGAATTGAACACTCCTGCCATGATGTATTTATGATTTGCATTGGTTCAAATCATCTTAAACTGTGCTTCGCTGCTACATAAATTTGTGGTTAAGTCACAGAGTGAGGCTGGCGTAAAGCAATCAATGGTTGATTCACACTGAAGTTGTCAGAGCATAGGCGTCTAGTCGAAGAGCTTTGCTAATTTTCTTCAAAAAAATTGCACCTATGACTGTCTGTGATATAAGAGTGAAAGACGCATGATAGAATTAAATTTTAAAATGAAACTAAACATACATACATGAAATTAATTTTAAAATCATACAATAATGTACAAATTTAGAGGATATTTACACAAATTTATACCAATCTTAAGACAAAGAGTATAACGACTTGTAATAAGAATGATTCAAATTTTGCAAAGACATATTCAGTAATATTTATATGAATATTACTAGAGATTAAAGTTGTTCTTTTCAAAATAATATATTCCTAGAATAAAAAAACAAACAAAAAATTGCAAGAAAGCCCTTCAAGGTGGACATTTTGTGAAGAAATGAAACACCTCCCTTTACTTTAAAAGAGCTCTCAACCACTTCTGGTACGTTGTCTGGAAGTTTACAATTGATAGCAAATATTAGGTGTTTGACTTTTATTATTATTTAGAAATGTTACGCATTTTATATGTAGTGCCACTTTTTGTATGTTTGGTATTCCTGCTTTCCTTCCCTTTTGCTTTCATTTTCCTGTACAAAGAGCATAACAGAAGTGTCCTATAAATATCTCCATCTGAAAGACGTTTCTCAACTGATACACATGATAATGAAAATTATGAGTATTAATGAGGAACATGTCATAAACAGTGTAAAATCATTATTACATTCATGTTAATTTCAAGACAAATGGTAAGGATATTTTCAAAATATAATATTAGGATCTTTTGTTATTTAGCTTTTGTAAAAAACAATTTATCTGTGTTTTGAAATATTTGTTCACATATCACATTAGGATCTTCATTGCGTACACCAGCTATAATTTCTAGAACTTGTATTATCTGACAAGGCTCATTGCGAGCTTTAACCAGCTTATCAGCTTGCCACTTCTCCTTTTTCACAGCAGGAAAGAAAGTTTTGACGTATTTAAATCCAGCATGAGTAGGTCGCACTTCGCACCAAGGAGAATCAGTTTCAATAAGAATTTTTTCTAATGGAAGTGTGCCAACAACTTTAAGATTATCTTCAGTTTTCAAAGAACAACCATTGAGACCAATGTAATACTCCATATCTAAAAATTTATCTGCCTCTTCTTTTGTGCCATCAAAAGAATGAATTACTCCACCACAAAGATTATCTTTATGCTTTTCTAAAATTTCTATTAAATCAGGAGCAGCATTTCGGCAATGCAAAAACAAAGGAAGCTTAAATTTACCAACCAATTTTAATTGTTCTTCAAAATATGTTTTTTGCACATCCTTTGAGCAAAAGTGTAACCTATCATAATCAAGACCACATTCGCCAACTGCAACAACTTTATCTTTATTTTCTTCAATCAGTTTAGAAAGCGACTGCAAGTAATTCTCTGGTTCACCAGATTCTGTAAATTCATTACAACGTGTTGGATGACAACCAACAGTACTGTATAAATTTTCACTTTTCCTTGACAGTTCAAGAGCTTCTTTGCTCTCTGAAAAACTACCACCTGTTATAATTATTTTACTAAGCCCATTCTGCCAGGCTCTTTCAAGAACTGCTTCAAGATCACTAGCATGTTTTTGTGAACCATGATATTTGCCACCATACATTGGGTCGGTCAGATTTGCACCTATGTCTATGAACTTTCTCACGACATTCATGATGAAAATTTTCGCCGTTATTAACAGCTATAGAAATTTTACACAACAATAACAGCTACGTGGGGCTTCCTTCTTTGACATGCGCCGGAATGATGTGCACAATGCGGAGCCTGAAACACAGGAACACATAACCCCAACGCCCACATCAACATCTCTCGTGCATCTCTCCCACTAGCGAACAAATGACGGAGCTTGGAGCGAAGATTGCCGAGTGGCGCTCCTACTGGTACACTTTCATACCGTATGCATAGCAATGCCATATGTTGTTTCCTGGAAATAAGTGGAAATGCGATATACCTCACATATTCATTCGAACAGTTAATATTGGCTGAAACTAGCTAAAAGAAACAAATTATCATTATTACTCATTTAAGAGTACAGAATACTTTTCATATTATTTTTTTATAGTAATCGATCCAACTTCGTTTGGTTGGTACCACCTTCACCATTTTCATCTGGCGATGTTGGTAGCTCTGCACATCGGTCTGGTAGCATTTGTTCATCACCTTGGAGAATAGTGAGGTGCGACACTTGCGTTGTGGTGGTTGGGGAGCTTGGTGCTGCCGTTCAATATACTCGAAATCTGTTCAGTGCGTGTGTTACGGATGCTCGTAGTCGTAATTTCGTCATGTTGTTGAGGACAAAAAGATAACATCTAATGACACGAAGCTGGTACTGAACAAGTCGAATAAGTTATGATTTCTTTTCATCTTGTTCCTTCGTGTTGAAAGTGGAACATTCGCGCCCATTCTACAGCTGATCGGCTTGACCAGTTTTGCCAGCTCGTGCTCAAGAAGTAAGTACTGATACGATGAGAATATGAAGTTCGTGTTCTAACCTATATTTATTTTGCTAAGTGTTGGCAATACATTCAGTTCATGTGTGTCAGTTCAAGAGTTCATGTGTTCATATGTCATACACTATTGTACAACTGTCAGTCATGTGACACGTCGCAAATAGCATTTTCTGTTCATTTCTATAATTTAATATTAATCTATAACCCTTGCAAGAGCTGTCATTAAGTGTGTTTTGACATTTGTTGTCTTTTCAGGTATCCGCAATATTCTCAAGTCTTGGTGAAAACAGAAGGCAGCCAACAGAATATCAAGATGAAGTTCCAACGAGAGTTGTGTATATCGTGCATGTGTGTGTTGGTGACTCTTTTATCCGTGGGACACAGCCGCGAACAACCAGTCTTCATGAACCAGTTTGCTGTTCACATCCCGGCGGGGTCGAAAGCAGCCGATGACATCGCCCGGAAACATGATTTCAACAACCTCGGACAGGTAAGAGAGATTTATTGTTACGAAAGTGTTTGTATCGCTGTGGGTCCCTCCGGTCCGCGCATTTGTGTTGCCGCGCCGCCGCTCGCTCCGAGTGCCCGTCACCGCCGCGAACTCGGTGAGCTAACGAGTCGTTCAGCGGCAACGTAGCCAAAAGGCTTTCTCTCTTTGCTCGGTCCACTACTTTCTCTCATTGGAACGACACTCGGACGGTCGAGTGCCCGTCGACTAGTCGGACTGAGCGACGACCGAAACCGGCGCTGTTCGTAGCCGTCGCCGGCAGCCGCGCGCGCGCGCTCGCTCGCTGTCAGGCGCGTCTTGCGGCGCGAGAACGTCGGCTGCCGAGGCGATTAAGGACGGCGTTCGCGAAAGCGCACGCGGCAGCGTTCGCCCTCGCGCGTATGCACGCGTCGCTTTCCCCGGTCGTCGCGGCAACGCCTTCTCGGCCAGGCGGCTCGGAAGGAGCGTTCAGCGACGCCGGCGGACGCGCTTGCACAGCGAGTTTCGACGCGATAAGTGCGCAGTCAGACGTCTACGCACTCGTAAGCTTCTCGTTTCGGTTTTTTATCCTGCGAGAAACGAGCGATATTACGCTCGCGGTGCAATAAATATTGCGAAAAGACGTATTGCATCTCTGGAACGGGACGCTCGTCGTTGTTAATAAATGAAATCGGTCAGCTTCCTGCGAGGGATCGGGTTAATCTAGCATAGTCGCGAAAATGCGGGTGAGGGTACACTTCTATTCGCTTGGCAGCACCCGAGGGGAAAAGCGAGCAGGTCGTCGTGAGCTTACGATCAGCGCGGTCGTTTCGGAAAGAATATCTATGCGCCCAGGTCGTGGGTAGCGGACGTTAGTAGGTCCTTGCCGGAGGCGTCGCCAACGCCAGACACCGCTTTCGGGAACGTTCAAGGACGCCGTGCAGCTGGGGGGCGTTCCTCGTGCGACAAGGCTCCTAGCGGTCTTGGGGCATTTACTGGTGTATGTGCGCGCTTGCCTCTTTAATCCGCGTTGCTGCTTTTCTCTCGGGCCTTACCACTCCCTCAGAACGGGGTTTGCTTCACCACTATCAGTAATAAGTAATAGATTGATGTACCGTACAGTTATTTCTTTGACTTCTCACCGATGTGTCAGCATTTGCGAATTGTGCAGTTTGCGGAATGGCATCCGCTTTGCAATTTGCGGATGACATCCAGTTTATTATACTTCTCCCAGAGAGTGCATTTGAGGCGAAAACTTGAGTCGCTTATGATGACTAAAAATTTGAGTACATAAAACGATATTCCATACAACACTAGTCGGTCATGTTGGCTAACAACATCCTGTTCGTCGCGTTTTTGAGTAATTCTTTTTGTTTATATTAGCGGTCTTATGAAAATTCGTAGGTTGTTAAAATATTGTATTTTGTGGAATGAAATCTGTGAATTTATATCTGAAATGAAATAGCTGTTTGCAATTCACGACAGTGAGTAATCTTCATTTATGTTATAATCTGCTGCAGAGTATTTCGTTGAATTGCATTATTCAAAGTACCTCTCAATTTTAATATTAATTAGGTGTTAAAAATAAAACTAGTAATCTATTGTTGATGAAGATCTTTTTACCTGTTCGTTTTGTCGGTGTAAGTGTTTTTAATTTTGGAATAACGTGAAGTTTTCGCTTCTGTTGCTGTTATGCAATATATAGTTTTGTTGAGCTAAAGGTCTACCGGGAAGGAAAGAAAAGAGATTTCCTGATTCCAGTAGGGCCCAGAACGATGTTTCCGGTATGTAGTATATCTGAACTAACATGTTAAAGGAATAAATGTAGAAAAATCATAATTGGAGATGCATGCCATCAGTTCCTGTTCAGTGTGTTTGGTATATGTTATGACTGAGCGAATTTATTCTTTTGTACTCGTCTACCTCAATTGTAATTACTTATATTTTGCTTGCCTCTATTAAATGCCATTGAAGAATTACACCAATAAGAAGAAAGTAAGAATTGCCATGAGGATATCAATATTCCCATACTTTTCAATTCGTTCAATACACAATTTGCGTTTCCCAGCAATCACCGCAAAAAAATAATTCGCCCCGTAAACAAAAATACTTACGTTCAATTTCAGAATGGATTTCGTGCTTGTTTTTTCTGTGCTTTATTTTCCTATTATGGGAGTTGGACTCGAACGTGAATTTACGAAGGAATCGTCAGTTTTGTACTAGTATGCCATTGCATGAAGTACAAAATTTCACATGACTTCGGAACGAGTATTATCCTGTAGAAAATATTTTGTGTTAAATACATGTTCTGTAGAACTGCTGAGATATAAAGACGGAAGTAACACTGAACAAAGCATCGAGATGTGCATTAAGATCTAGGAATGCCGTGCCAGAAGACGTCTAATATTATGTTCAGAGAATAACATAATGATTAATATTACAGTACTAGTACTTGAAACGTTTGTAGATTGCTAATGCACTCAAACCTGTTCTCAAGTTGTATAACTACTAGAATTTATTATTATAAGAATGTTTGAATGAAAATTAAATTATTTAAAAATGATGTGAATTGAAATGGTTTTGAATAACATTTTTATCATTCCATTCCATTTTATATCTAATGATACCTCTATTTTTACATTTGTATTTTACAAGTATTTTCTCACACGTACTGAAGCAAGCGTGTGCTATAAATGAAATGCAGTAAAATCAAAACCGTTCACTCTGTAACCTCCTAGAATATTTTCTTCCGTTCCATGAGTTCGGGAATGTTTTTTCCAGTTTATTTCTCTCTTGAAAATCTTTCGCTACGTAAATATATTTGAGGCCCCGTAAGCCATTTTCAATTTCTCTTCAAACGTTAGATCTAGGAATTTTCGCCTCGTCAGAATCCAAAGAAAAGAGAAACATTAGCCCGTCTGCAGGGAAAACATGACGCTGTGAAAAGCGCTTGTCGCGCGTCGCCGCGGGCCCAGAAGCCTGGCGGCCGACGCGCAAGTGTGTCGCGCCGGCCGCGGCGGCGGCGACGTCGAGCTCGCGGAGTTCCGCGAAGGCGCACGTGCGCCCGCCCAATCCAGACCTCCGTCGACCGGGAGGCCTGCGGTTACCCCGCTCAGCTCCCCCCACATCCCCCGCCCCATCCCGCGGCGGAACGCGTGCGTTTGTTTTTGAAGTCTCGCGGTCGCGCGTTCTTCTCGCGGGTATTACCGTGCGGCGCGCGCTTTACCGTTGAGCGGCGTGGCGTGGCGTGGCGTGGCGCGGCGCCGCGGGGCGAGCGCCAACGCTTGCGCCTGAGCGGCGCGGCGGAGGCCTGACGCGCGTCACGCTGGCGGTGCGGCGCCTTCGTCGTTCGGAGGAAAAGGACAGTGGGTGGAAAGTGAAAACGGGCCTGTTGGGGACGGGATGTTCGGTTCATGGTGGAAGGACATTCAAAATAATTAATTTGTAGTAGCTGTAATTGTAAGAATTGAAATTGAGCCTAATGCGGATCTCCCAATTGTATTTGAGGCACTTGTTTTAGAAAAAAAAACATTTTGATAATAACACCGAATTGGTGAAGTTTCCTATAAAAAGTACTGAAACATTATACCAGAAAAGTTCTAAATACTTTTTAAGAAACTTCAGATCAAAGCATACTCGTAAGATGATAGCGGGAGCTCTGACAGAGAAATTCTAGTACAGACATCTACCCAAGGATTTTTTTACATACTTTTTCACATCCTATCGGGACTGCAGAAAGTAATGAATGTAAAAGATGAAAAGGAAAGAATTGAATGTGAGGAACTGATATTGACTACAAACGATGCAGTTTGTAAGATCTCATAATTTCCACATCAATATCCGGAACAATAATTTCAGCAAGTGGAATGTAAAGAATTTGTCCATTGCAGAATATTTTCCTCTTCACTCATGTAGTCGATGTACAAAACAGGAATGTTAAATACCGGAAGAGAATTGGTCCTAAAAACAATTGTTCTACCACAGAATACAACATTATGCTACCGCCAAGTATAAGTATCTTAGTGACATAAGATTATGTTGTTTAGCTACCATTGACATTCAATAGAAATAATATCCCAAAACTTGTGGTCGTGCACAGCCTTTGTATTATTGTAAATATTTTAAATTGTGCGGTGAAATGTTAGGAAAATATGATTGCAAAAATGGGAATAAACTCTAATATTTCAGTTTTTTAAATCTTCATGAATCTTTTAGTGAAACTTCGAGTATTCAAATGGTATTAGCTCTGGCTGTACAAGAAAATAATGTCAATCGAGTGAAAGCAAGTTCCTAATATTATATTTTCATATTTTTCAAAATACGCTTTCATTGTGATTTTATCATTTACCTTTTAAAATGTCGTATGCAAAATAGATAATTTGCATTAATTAATTGAATCGAAAATGTTCGCAAATTGTCAGAAATATTCACATTGTTAACTTTTATTGTTGTTCGCTGTGAATATTTCGTTCGTCGATTTTATGGCAGAGGAAAAATACTTTCACATTCACCATTAGTATTGTGTCCCTCCCCCCACTGGACCAGAGACCGCTATTGCACCTCGAAATTTATTATAAACATACAGTTCAGTCTCTTCCTTCTTGAAGTGCTAATAGCATCACGTAGAAGGGTAGGATCAATGCGGAACACCCCTATATAGCTCAACCGTAGACCCCCTCCTGCCAGTCGGCGGAAATTAAGTTTGGATTATTCACGACCGGATGCTCTGCTAAAGGGTTGGCCAGCAAATGGTAGCGTATCTTTTCACATATTCGTCCCCTTCATCCTCGATCACTACCCCTCTATTGACGCCTCCAACCAATAGCCAACATCTGTTGTAATCTGAGTAAATTACTCGCGGAGATCGAAAACAATTTTGAACTCCATTTTGATTTTGCGGACGATGGAAACATTACACAGGTTTCAGTGCAATTTAGATGAGTCCTCTAGAACTTGCTGAATGTAATACAATATGATGGCGTAGCTTTGTTTCACGTAGTTTGTTTTAATGGAAACAATTATCA